ATGTACCGGCGAGAGCTGGAGGGTTGCGAGAAGATCCTTGGACCTGACCACCCAGACACCCTAACTGGTATCGGAAACCTTGCCGTTGTGCTAGAATCTCAAGGGAAGTACGATGAATCAGAGGCGATGAATCGGCGTGCACTGAGAGGGCGTGAGAAGATTCTTGGACCTGACCACCCAGACACCCTAACAAGTGTCGGAAACCTGGCCAGTGTGCTAGAATCCCAAGAAAAGTACGGTGAATCGGAAGCGATGTACCGGCGAGAACTGGAGGGTTGCGAGAAGATCCTTGGACCTGACCACCCAGACACCCTAACAAGTGTCAACAACCTAGCTATTGTGCTACAATCCCAAGAAAAATACGATGAATCAGAGGCGATGAATCGGCGTGCATTGGAGGGGCGCGAGAATATTCTTGGACTAGACCACCCAGACACCCTAACAAGTGTTAGTAACCTGGCGGCGGTGCTACGACTCCAAGGAGAGGGTAGCTATTCAGTGACGGTTGAGCGACGTGCGGGGCAGACACTGTCAGGAAACCCAGTGGATACGCGGCCATAATTTGCTCGTCGTCTTGTCGATAATTTGCGGCGCAGAGCAGTCTTCCGCAGGGGTGACAGCTCGAAATAGTGACCCACCACACCGCAGGCAATTTGGCTGAATTGAACATCACCGGTGTTCGCAGGAATATTTTCGGGAGTTCTGTGGTCCCCGGGCTTTCAGTTTTTTAGTCTTTCCCAATATTTCTTTCGTGTTTCGTCTATTTTTATGTTGTCCGGAGGGTATATGGTAACGGAAGGCAGTTGGCTGGCATTTCTTGTAGGTTCGTGGCCTCTCAGCCCAGATCTCTGCGGGCCGTGAGGAGCAAGAGAACTTTGCCTACTCGTGATCTAGTCATTCGGGGTTTGGCGGCACTAGCGCGAGTTAAAGGAGTGTTGAAACATGGTCATTTTATTAATTAGTTTCCCTTTTTTCTTTCCTGTTGAACTGTTTTGGGGATACAAGGGGTATATTGTTGATTTCTATTGAGAAACGGTCCTGTAGATGGAGGTCCGGAGAGAGATTTGCTTAGGCTTCCTACTCACTATTCCGTATCGGAGATGTACGTGGAAGCGCGTATTCCGTATCCTGACTTGCGTCATCACGATAGTATATATATACCGTTCTTGCTCCGCTTAGCTAGTTAGATAGACTGAATCAACAATCTTCCGCTGCACAACCAAAATGCTCAATTCTTGACAATTTCAGGCCGGTTCAAATTTTTGTCTATAAATGCAGGGGAGATTTCCTTTAGTCCATAGTTCGTTAGAGAGGCTTGAAATACAAACTTAAAAACAACTGGTATTGCTACCTTCGTATCATATCTCTCGTGCGACAATGACTTGGAAGATATCATATTTTTTGTACAGAAGTTCAATCCAATTTTGTTGTCCTCCTTTACCGATCGGGGGATATGGCCGGAAAGGAGCCGGACTGATAGCCGGAAGAAAAGGAGTCAAGGAGAAATTCCATCTTTACGAGGCGAGAGCTATGTGGCTCGTAGTCGGGCAAAGTAAGTGTGACAAATTTGATTTATAGGGTGATAATTTGTGACTTGGCCCTGTTGCAGATGAACAAGCATTCTTAAAGTTGTATAACTTACAACATTGTAGAAAAATAATCGAGAGGTTACGTTATTTCAATTAAAGTCTACAAAATCAGAATTCCCCATAACAGAACCCAATGAAATACATGAAGATTCAGAATCTAATTTATCAGCCGAGTCCTAACCACTAATTTACAATAGTCCTCCAACTCCACGGCAGTATATATTCGTACCGTACCCAACCGTGTCCTATGTATGAATTTCTAACTCTGAAATTTTGTCTGTACTATATCAACTTTCCTTGAAATATGGCAACTTCTGTGTTATTATCCTACAATGTTTTATACATAATTTGTATTGTTCTACCATCGGTTGAAGTCACTAACTATCACTATAAAAGAGAAGCTGTGTCACACATAGTTTGGCATCACACTTGCTTTGCCTGACTTTGAGTGAAGCGAAATAGGAGGGTAACCGGCTATTAGTAACCAGACGGGAGCCAAAACACAACAAAAGTGACGGTTTTCGAAGCTATTATTACGCAACCAGATGAGTAGAAACAACACAGAAAAGAGGAAATCAAAAAGTAATCTGCTACGATAGTATATATATAAAAGTATGGGATCTCTCCTCTTCCTCTCTCCCAGAGTTGTGAGGTGTGGGATGTTCATTCCCAGGAGGTGCCTGCCAGGACGAAGGTTTTTGTATGGGAAAGGTACATTGCAAGCACCCTTACCCGGTTCATGTGCCCACAGTTCTCTACAAAAAAACACCAAAAATGCCAAAATAAATATATATTATACTTCAGACATGTCAAACAATTTTCTTCAAGATATTTGTGGAGTTATTGTGGTTTGAGAAACTCGCAATTTTAGTGCGTTTTGGCCTCTCTAAGTACGGTACTAAACGACCTCCAATGTCATTCAACCAGGCAATAAGAGCCGCAATGCAATTCTCAGTTACCTGCCTACCCCCCCCCAATTTACTGCCTGATTCCTAGGCCCCTGTGCGGCCTTACATTTTCAACGTCGGATCGGGGGAAACCATTGCGATATCGAAAACTAACGAACAGCGAACGAGCGACGAATGAACAGCGAAACGTTTAACGAACGAGCGGCGAAGCGAACGAAACCAAGCGAACGAGTGATGGACAGTGAAACGAAATGCCAAGATCACTCACGTGAAAGGATCGCCCAACTCACAAGGGGGGGGGAGAAAACTCTTCACTATCGCGCACTCTCTCTAACTTACTACCGGTAAATACAGGAGTAACTTATATATCAACGACACAAAAGACAAGGCCCTAACCCCCCAGGTGCGTCTCCCCATACTAGCAAACAAGGAAAGCTAACAAAGAAAAGACAAACTTCGGCTACCCATAGCCTCCGGCCCTTCTTATGGCCTTTCCACTTTCCTTCGTGCCTTCCTTCTAGTCTTTCCGCCATCCTTCCGGCGGATGCACTTCTCCAAGACTTCTGCACACTCCCGCCACCGAAGTGCTTTCCCGAAAAGCAAAACTGCGCGGACGAAAGTCAAAGTGTGCTCGAAACTAAAAGCGTACTCCCGGAGACTATTCGATCAAACAAACAAGCCATCGTGAGAACACGCCGGGCAGCACCTCGTGACTTCCAACACTCCATTATCAGCCATTAAAGGAAGCTCTATGACAGCACACCTGCCCCCCCCCCCCCGGGCCTTTTCCCGTCAATAGACTCATGCCATATCCTCTGCAGGACCCGACAGCAATGATGTCCCCTGGTTCCGGTCCGGAAGGGAACTGTAGATTTGCATGTCTACACCGCTGTACTGGATGCTCTTTTAGGACCTGTCATGCAGTAGATCACTAACGAGGTTGGATATCCGTTGTTTGAGCAGGACAATGCGCATACTACTCATCACGTGATGACCTGGTTTGAAAGTAATGGAATTGATCTGGAAGGCCACTCGCCTCTCTCTTCTGATCTGAACCTAATTAAGCATGCCTGGGTTGAACTTAAATGGAGACTTTGTAAGCAGTACCCTGATATCTTAGACACCAAGGGTGGTTCTGATAAAGCATGCAATTGGTTTGCTCAGGTTTTATCACTTATATGGGATATTGTACCGGATAGCTCCCTCGAAAATTTCTAGGAGTCCGCACCTTCTCCGGTGGCTGTTGTGATAGAAGCGAAGGAGTGTTATGTAAAGCACTAGGGTCTAGGATGGTGTTCTATATTTAATCTTTCCTCCATTAACTAAATTTTTAATATTGCTTATCACCGTCGTCGGACTGCCCAACTTGCGCAATCACAATACCCCACTGGTATGGGCACGGACACAGTCTCACGTGGTGTAAATTTAATCACCAAGGCTTTTGTCGAGCCACTGTAAATTACTGGTTGATATTACCTCGATAGCTAATTTAGTGCCTTCCGTGGACCGGACAACCCATTTCTGCACACCTCCGAACCCTTATCGCGCAGCCGTGCAGGTCCACCACCACCACCGACCGGCCCCCACTCACTTAAAACTGTGAGATCAAAAATTACTTAAAATTGCCTTGTTCGTTCACCTCGGGCTATCCCAGCGGCGGATTCGGTTGATGTTGGTTCCCTTCATCTACTAGTATAACTCTGCTAGCATCTATTCCACAATTTCGAGATCGACTAAACTAACTGAAGGTCTATCTGCTACCCGGACGCCGGGAAGTTCCAAGTACCGCAATTTCCTGTTCTATGGCTAGGCTCCCGCTTTGAGCCATCCGAACCACATAAAGCGGTTGCACCCTCAGCGAGATTGCACCCACAGCGAGATCCTGACATAATAATCTGCCAAGACATACGTAGGTTTGAGGAATGATTTTTGGTTGGTAAGGTTGTGGTGTTGAGCTGAGGCAGAGTGGAGTGGTTTATCTCATGTAGGTTAGCAGTGACCGATCTGCAAAAAAGGAAAGACTTGGCATTTTCTTACTTATACAAATCTCGCTGAGGGTGCAATCTCGCTGAGGGTGCAACCGCTTTAGGTAGAGCCCAAATAATTGTCCCCCAGGCGCGGACTTTATGTAACGGGTGCGGAATAATGACTCTGCGACGTGGACGTATCTCCGCGACCCGGTAGATTTGGGTTGTGAGTATCTAGAGCGGGGCGACCGGTAGAGGGAGGGCGGGGTCAATGCGAGTTTCGGAATTGTAAGATTTCTGGTATTGTTAGAGACACCTGCGGTTGGCCGTCGAGGTGAAAGTTCCACCTCGGTCATTATCTGGTTGGCTAATAATTTGTTCGCTAGATAGCATTAAGTATCGTGTAGATGGGGAAGGTGAAACTTCGCATGGTGGCCTCATGCCAATGCAGGCGGCTCATGATATGGTAACACAAACTCGCCATTTGGGGTCTGGCACCAAACATGCGGCGGCTCTGTAGGATAATATTGTTAATTTTTTATCTCTAGCTAGGCGGTTAATAAACCATTGTACAGTACTTAGTACACGATTGTGGGACTGCGCCCGATAGATGTATCTACCACGTGAAGTATGGTAAAGTGGTTGCGCTTGATAAGAAGATAGCGGTGGGTTGGCTGGGACCCCACGAAATTCTCGTGGTGTGCCATACTCGAGTACAATAGGGTAGCCTAACCGTACGGGACGAACATTAGCGATGCAACCTTTTAACCATCCGATCTTGCAAACAAGAGTGGGGCGGGAGAGCCAGCCTTCCTATGATGCATGACCTGCCCCCAGGATTTGCATGACAGGGGAGGTCCGGGCGGGCCGAAGGGGAAGGGCCTCGGAGCGGGGGCTGTGGCCAAGTGAGTTTGGGGTGGAGGGGAGCTCCAGTTAATGGCGGAGTGAGGGGGGGTTGCATCAAAAATGATACAAGGAGCTGGGACCTGTTTTTCGAACAACGGAGTTCTATGATAGAACCCTTCCTGGGGAAAAAAGCATCATAAGTTAAATTACACGGGAATCTCATGAGTATCGGGGAATTTGTATGATACTCGTTCTGGGGTTCTCTGAAAACACGAAACCTTGGCGCCAGGACCCCCGAATATATTGGCATTGGCTAGGGGTACTCGAGTAGTATTCCTCATTTTCCCCGGAGACAACACGCATGCTGGATTCAAATTTGTAGTAAATTGCTACGCCTTATTCTACCACTTTTGCTTAATATATACTAAGGCACAAAGGCGCCAGCCTTGGTGAATCCCCACCTTCTAAAGCCCGGTTCAACCTGCCTCCCGTCTAACTCCCGGGTTCTATCACCAGAGGTCCTCTTCCCGACAATGACTCGAGCCTCGTGTCGCTAGAGGTGTCTGCTGAAGAAGCGCCGCACCAACGGGTAATAACTACTAAAAAAGGTCGAAGACTGTGAAGGTTTTCCACCCATGGTGCCTATTCGCTATCCTCCAACTACCAACCCGATGTAATAACTCCCATGGAATCTGTATCCCGTGAGAGGAATAAACGGGTTTGGCGCTTTTTTTAGCATTAATTGGCATAATACTTGTAGCATGATTTGCGTTGCTGAAGCCTACTGTATTTGCTTGATATTTATGGATACCGTAATGTTCTCGCCTCGTGCGACCTGCAATTCCACCTGTCACATTTCCATTGGGAATTCCCAGCTGGGCGCCCTGACTTAAGCCAACTAGCTTTCATGGGATTTACCAAACCAAATTTATGATCGGTACGGTAGAGGAGTCTTGTCTCTCGCCTCTTTGCAATTTTATGCACCAGCTCAGACTTTACATGCCTGATCGGTTCATTTCACGGTGAAGATGGGGCAATCCTAAGCGATCAGGAAATGATGCTATTGCATGGCTTATTCCGGGGCTGGGTCAAACAACCCTAGTACTCGAGTACTCAAGAATCGGCAGCATTCGGGGGGGTCAATCCGGTATTCTTAGAGGCTCTGGTTGATCGAGTACGAAGATCCCAAAGTGGGCGGCTACTGTAGCATGCAGGAAAATGCTCTGCAGTCAGCAGGTGTTCGAGTACGGTAGTTGTGAAATGTGACTGAGCGTCTCACCTATCATGCGGCTTAACGAGACATGCATAAAATGCTACTGGCCAGTCAAAGTGCGACTGGTGCCCAATCGATCAGGGTTGCATTCCTAAACTGCAGCAGACAGCCAACACCCTACTGTTAAAGCACCGTACTGTCCGCTTTTCTCCAACCTCTCGCCCGCGCGGAACTCTAACACTTCTGATTTCCGGAGATTGAGTTTCAATCACTTGAGCTGCCCCAAGACTTGGTCGCTTCGTTCATACTGTATACCCATTCACTGCCCTTAACCCAAATCTTTCGGCTTCGCCAAATTCGAAGAGCCCGAGCAGGATTCCCTCCCCTACCATCAGCTGCCTCAAAACCAGAGGGTTATTCGACCCCACATCAAAGGGTTAGTCCTCGGCTGCCCGTTCTGACGTGCGTCGCGTTATTGCCTTGTTTCGGGGTTTGGGAAAAGATTTTAGGCTCGCTCAATATAGGCTATCAAACCCGTTTCGGATACGATAGCGACATCATATTGCTTTTCCCACCTGGCCTTTGAAGACAGCCCGTGGAGTGAGCTGAATACCTGATGGATCGGTGGGCTCCCCTTCCCTTTAATGTCTGTAATTTCAGAAATCACAAGCAGTCGGCTAATAATCTTCTCAGAAAAACGCAAGGCTATGTTAGGGGAGACTTTAGTGGAAACTCAGGAGATCATAATGTTTTTGGTAGTTTTAATAATAACGCATACACGAGTTACGAGAACAGTGCTTCCAATCACGGAACGATATATCAAGGATGTGTATTTGGAGCTGAGGGGAGAGGTATTACCGATTTTCCCGCGAGATTTCAGACAAGGAACTAATGTGTTATCGTAAGTGGAAGGAAAAACTGGGCCTTGCCGGATAATCCCCTATCGCAGAAATAGCAGGTTCATTGGCCGCAAAGATCTCCTTGAGTCGATAAAGAGGATATGCAGCCATAACGATCATACCCGGATCGCACTTCATGGACTCGGCGGTTCTGGGTATGCATTCATTATCCTTACTGTTATTTTGGGGAATTACTAACATTGTTTAGGAAAACTCAGATTGCCTTGGAGTATGCCTGCCAGCGTGCAAGCGAGATCGATTGTCATGTTTTCTGGGTGCAGGGGAGTGGGGTATTGAAATTTATTGAGGGTTTCAAAGCTATTGCACAGCATGTTCGAATTCCACTAGCCAGCGCTGAGATGGAGCAAGAGGAATTACTAGCTAGTATAAAGAGGTGGTTTGAAGGTCCGGATGGTGGTGATTGGATACTAGTTATCGACAATGCCGACAACGAGGAGGACTTTATTGGCAACTGTGGTCCCATCTCCAAATTTGTGCCACAAGGCCAAAGGGGTACTCTTATAATCACCACCAGATCACTACGGGTTGCGTGTTGGCAGGATTGCGAAAGGATTGATGTTGGGGAAATGGGGGAGGATGAAGCCACGGCATTGTTTTCGAAACGCTATGATAACGGGAACAGATTGGGAGAGGAAGAGAAAGAGGCCATTGCTTTGATCTTGGGCGCCCTACACCACATCCCGCTGGCAATTGTAGGAGCGGCAGCCTTCATGACAGAAACCCAGACACCGCCCTCTGAATACTGGACCATTTTCCGGGGAAGCGACGAACAAGCAAAGAGACTCCTTTTGCAACCGTTTTGTGAGATACAACGAGAGGCGGACATGACCGAAAGTATCCTAGCCACGTACTTTATCACCTTTGACCGAATCACACGGCAGATGCCCCTAGCGGCGGAGCTTCTGCGTTTGATTGCCTTCCTCGATCGTCAGAACATCCCTGAGGATCTATTGAATCAAAGTGGTTTAGGAGGGGCGGATGACCCAATCGAGTTTCGTCAGGCCATTGGAAAACTATTGGGATTTTCACTAGTTACGACTGTCAAAACTCAGGACAAGACATTTTACGAGCTTCATCGTTTGGTCCAATTGTCTTTGCAAGTGTATTTACCAACAGAGGAGCTGAAGCGATGGAGGGCCACTGCGCTCGGAGTTGTTTCAAGGCACTTTCCTTGCCATTGGAACACGTGGAGAGACGTTAGTTCTGCATACATTCCACATGCACTTGTTGTAACCAAAGATTCAACGGATCCTATCGCCGAAGAGCTTTGTTTTCGCCTGGGACGGTACTTTGTGAATAGGGGTTTCTACAGCGATGCAGAAGCTCAATTGCGTCGTTGTGTAGCACTGCGGGAAGAGGGTAAAGAGTACGACTGGGATGGGGAAGGTCCGAGGAGGGTCACACTCCAAGGGAGGGTAAGCGCATATCAGGGAAAAGCAGATGTCGCTGAGAAGATACTTCGGGGTCTATTGGAGGATATTGAGGGATCATTGGGCCCAAATAATCCCATCGTCCTGGACGCTTTCCTCTGCCTGGCTCTAGCGCTACGACAGCGTGGAAAGTACGATGAATCAGAGACGGTAAATCGGCGAGAACTTGAGGGGCGCGAGGAGATTCTTGGACCAGACCACCCGGAAACCCTAACAAGTGTCAACAACTTAGCCATTGTGCTACAATCCCAAGGAAAGTACGACGAATCAGAGGTGATGAATCGGCGTGCACTGGAGGGGCATGAGAAG